GATCCGCTGAGAGTACTGCACTAATGGTTTCGAAAAACAAGTTTCCCCAATCATCTGACGGTGCTGCTGATGTCCCAATAGGAGTAGAACTCGTATGACCGATACCTGAAGCTAGTACCAACACTAATGTACTTATTAGTTTTAAAATCATTGTTTCTCTATTTAACAATCTTTTATAATGTTTCTGCTTGTAAGATTTATAAATGACTGAAAAATTTTCTGTCGAGTAGGTTTTTATATTCAGTGAAAACGGTAGATTACGAAGTGTGATGATTTCAATGTATACATACTTTGTATTTGGTATCTTTAAAAAAATTTCGTTATATGTCACGTAGAAGAATGTACAATAGCCGTTTAGTTTTCAAATGAGTCGTATTATTGAGCAATATTTTTATTTTAACATTCTTAAATATTACATTGTCTGCTGACGAGTTTTTTGCAAGTCAGTTAGAAAGACTTTTGTTCAAGAAATTATTACACAGCTCCAGATCATCTGCTACCCCAATATGGTGTTTTCAGTGTACTAGATCTGTCAAGTATGATTTGTTCGCTGATTTAAAATATTTTTAATGATCCATATTTCAATAAATAATTTTTTAATTCTTAAGTATTATTGAGTGTTTGATTATTAAATTTATCATTAATATTGCCATGATGATGCTTGATGCTTGCATGAAGATATAGCTCGTCCTCGGCATATATTTAATTTGCGAACAATGCAGATATTAAGTGCATCGTATACGCTCTTCGGTAGTAGCCACGGAATAATTAAACGGTAGACTTATTTTTAGTCATTTGGCTGAATAACTTCTTCTAATTCGTAGTACGTTTATTTTCATGTTGATAACAAATACTATTTAATGTACTTAATCTATGCCTTAGAGTTTTAATACTGTCATTTATATTTTACGTTTTACTTTTTATAGATAGTTCAATGAAATTTTAATTTTAATTATATTTTGTAACAACAAAACATGATTGTAGTAATGATTCACAAATTGTTTATTTTTACAACCTGCACTTGCCATTCAAATCTCGAGTCATCACATTATCCCAGTTTGAATCAATTACATGAAGAGTAAAAGGCTTGATTCGTGATTATTCTCATTTTTAAGATAGGATTTTTTTTGTAATAATGAAAAATATTTTTTTTTTACAATTTAACCTTGCATAAATAAGTGTTGTAATATTTGTTTCAGATCTTTCCACCACAAAAAATGCCGTGTCAGAAGATAAAAAACTTTATTTAGAGAATGTCAAAGTCATCCGTAATGATGTAGAAGAGGTGATATACTTCTCCCGAAAAAAAAGGTAAGCTCATGACTGCCAATCACAACGTTCATGTAATGTAATGAGTGTATTTCCCTAAAATCCATCTATTTTCGTTTTTCATATCAGCTAGTCAGTTAAATTCTTTGCTTGTAATATTAGTACACTCGCTATGCTTTAAATTGGCTGTCTGTTCTTTTACTCATATCATATGACAGTAATATTTTTTTATATGTTTTAGTTTAGATTTATTGGTACTTGCTTATTAACGCACCTTCCCTACCTCCCACTTATTTGTTCGTTTTTTCATTCATGCTTTATTATTTCTTGATCTTTTAAATAGTCTTTTTGCGTTTAAGGTTTGACTATTCATTATTACGATGGCCACTTTCACATTTGCAGTTAACTATCTTTGGTCACCAAGGGCACCTATTAAGTATTCAAAGGGCACCTCTTAAGTATTCTCTTCGCTTTGTTACAAGAGTTATGCTTTGAGAAAATTTCTTTTTAATATTTTGATTCGATATTGGTGAAACATGTGCAAATTGAAGTCATACTTTCTACAAAGGAGAACAACTTTTTATGAACCTTAACTTTGTGCGATATTATTAGTCTGATTTCCTATCGCGTGAATAAAGTAAAAATATTTTCGGGGAAAATTAAAGAATACAATTTTTTTTTTTTTTTTTTTTTTTTTTTTTTCTTTTCTTTTTTTTTCATCAAAATGCAAAAAATTTCTTTTTCCAAGAGATCCTTGAATGTATTTTAGACGCACGCATCCGAGCATCGCTTCTTTGCATTACTAAAAGTCTCACGAGTGAGACGTCTGCGGATGTATTTATGCTGCTCTATCAATCTCATATTAAACTCATGCCTAATGTTTGCCTTTAATGCGTAAAGGGACGAGTTGGCTACGAAGTATCTGAAATATTTTCAAACAAAAAAGTATTTAGTTGCGATAAGTAACATCCACATCGTCGCTGATCAAATAGAAATTGAGTTTTTGTACTATCTCAATATTTCGCACGAGATACTCTCCGAGTACTGTGTTATGATTCCCTTTTCTCAGTTCTATTAATCAATCCGTATCTCTGTCCTCAAAGTTTCATAAATCGATCAACTTAAAAGTTCATGGCTTGGACTGCTGCTGCTGCTGCTGATACGTCCGCAGAGCCTGAGCGTTGTAATCGTTAAATTGAACATATTTGTGTCGCAGCCAACTCGCTGCTTACGCATATAGGGAGTTGATCAGTTCGTCTCATCTTTTTCCTATACGTTTGTAACGCAGACTCTCTGAAATGACGACGATGACCAAAGATGCGCGTACAAAGACAGCCTCAGAGATGCATGGCCGTGTCCCCCATTTCCATCTAACAGAAAATCATTGTAAGGCGCCGGCATGAATCGGTCGTTTCATTTAATTCACTCATACATACGCGTACTTTTTCCTGATTTAAAAAATTTAAAGATTGCAGGTCAGAGAGAACCGTATTTGCGATGGTGACGGGATAGCCACACTTTTGTACAAAGTATTGATAATGGACGCTTTGAGAGAGTTAATACGCGATGTAGCTTGCGTAACAGCCTGCCGGCAGACGAACTCGTCTCTTGGTCTATCTCTCGACTCGTCTGTGGTATCTGTTTTCTCCGCAGCGTGCGAGCTTTCTCTTTACATTTCTTATTCTCACTCGCGTGCCATGTGTTATTTTTTTTCGTAGCTTCGATTAATACATTTATAAAAATTATCAATTAACGTTGATGTCCCGATCTGTTGTGTAAACTATAAAATAACTCTACACCTTAAACTTTATTAAACTTCATTATAGAGCATAACATCATTATTCTCCTTTGTGTTTGTAATTCTTTTTCATGACGATAACGATTGATTTTTATAATGAAACAGTAGCAATGCTTCAAGCAGTTATTGATTTGGCTTTTGAGAAAATACGGGTACGTTTACGAGTTAACTAATTTGTGAGTCATTACTCTATCTAACAAATAGAAAGAACGAGAGTATGGTCTTTTTAGGTTTGTCATGAAATTCTTATGCTTTTTTAAGTTTACTTCTGTTAAGTATTTACTAAATTGCAATTTAAAAGTTGCTTTATTTCGATCGTTGTGGCTTGAAAGCTTATCTAATTGGTAATACCAATTTAAAATACAAGTTTAGATATTTTGGAGAATCATAAATAAAATACTTTTTATTGTGAAGATGCACTCGATAATTAAAAATTTTTTCGATTATAAGTTTTGTTTTATTAATCTTTTATATTTTGTTAAAAAATCTGAGAAGTCTCTGAGTTATCTTTTTTTTTTGAAGTATTTATTTTATATGTTATGATCGAACTTTTGTAGAAAATTTGGTGACCATGACTAATAGTTAAATACCGACACTTTTCAAAAGGTTGTTTTTTTGCTTACAATATGTTAAGATTTCAAAGAGATTAGTAATACAGCTTTTGCAAAATCAAGTTGCAATGTTGGTCACTTTGACAAACAAGCTCTTGTGTGTCCGTCATTGCCCAGTGTATATTTTATCTTTTTCAACCCAGTTAGGAATTTTTTTCAAAAGGATAGCTTTTTCTCATAATCAGAAGGATGTACTAAAATTTCAGAAAGTGATATTGTTTTCAAGACATAATGGTTGAAAATTCAAACACACTCCATTGCTACAGCTATTTAGTGCAGACCAAAACACGATTAAGTATTCATTCGATTATATTATAACATATTTCTTTGTTATTTTATATTGCATAATTGTTCATAATAAATCATTTAAATAAAGTTTTAAGACAAATTGTGTTAAAATATATTTTATTAAGTTTAGGTTTTTGATTAAATGCATCGCAATAACTTTTTATTTATTCATGAAATTTTGCATGACTTTATTTTAAAAAATTATTCAATTCTTTTTTGCACTTGATACTTAAAAGAATTTTGTTACAAGGGAAATCTTATTACATTATTGATAAAGACAATTCAAATAATTCGAATTTGAGAGAGTTAAACGTGATAACCTTAATTTAATAATTTTTTCTGGAAGTATACAAAATTTTTTTTAAAATAGAATTTTTATTGTATTAATTCATTGTTCACAGCAAAATTAAATGTAGTAAAACATTTTTATAAAATAAATACGAAAATATTTACGGTTTAACTTTGTGCTGAAATATACAGCTTCTATGTTCCACTTTTTAGCACTATTGAATTCAATTTTGAAGCTTCCTTATAACTAACATTGTATTTCGAAATGAGAAATGATATTATTAAGGATATTTTTACAATACACAGAACTCAGCTATTTATACAACACACTCATTCAAGAGAACTATATATTTTGTTTCATTTTGTCGAAAAAAAAATATCAGTTAGCTGTGTAAATGTTTGAAGAAAAAATTTGTATTAATTAAATTCAATGAACACAACTGTCAAGAAATAAATTAAGAATATCTTGAAACAAAACTGAGGTCACCTAACAAATGCTTTTAATTTAAAACATAATTATTTTTGCAAAAATGGTAAGAAAAAAAAATAGGTGTTAAAAATTTATAACAGCAATATTATATACTAAAAAAACAATTAACTTTGTTTAGTATGCACCTCATATTCAGCAACATGTGCTTATAACAGATCATGTGACTCTACAGCTAATGATGACTATATAAAAGGTTTATTTGTCGTTGAATTAGCTGATTTCTCGAACAATATCGATGAATTAGAAGCATCAATTTTCAACGGGTGTTGAATCCTATCCGCCCAGCAGTCATATTTGCCGATACATCCTGTGCCTGTGTTTTTAATTCCACGGGTCCAGTAACATTTGATTGTAACATACTTTGTGCATCTGTAGCTAATGAAGACTGTTCAGAAGATTTATTTATTGTTGAATTCGCTGATTTCTCGATTGATGTCGATGATTTAGAAGCATTAATTGTTGACGGATTTGTAATTTCTGTCGTGAATCCTATCCGCCCAGCAGTCATATTTGCCGATACATCCTGTGCCTGTGTTTTTAATTCCACGGGTCCAGTAACATTTGATTGTAACATACTTTGTGCATCTGTAGCTAATGAAGACTGTTCAGAAGATTTATTTATTGTTGAATTCGCTGATTTCTCGATTGATGTCGATGATTTAGAAGCATTAATTGTTGACGGATTTGTAATTTCTGTCGTGAATCCTATCCGCCCAGCAGTCATATTTGCCGATACATCCTGTGCCTGTGTTTTTAATTCCACGGGTCCAGTAACATTTGATTGTAACATACTTTGTGCATCTGTAGCTAATGAAGACTGTTCAGAAGATTTATTTATTGTTGAATTCGCTGATTTCTCGA